CCCAGGCAGAGGCACATGCTACGCCTTCCTCCTTCAGCAACTGTCCTTGGGAGCGCAGCCTCAATCTAGGCAATCAGCGCACAGACCCCGGCTTTCTCTGACTCAGACAAAGGTCGCTTCCCTGTTCTATTTTAATTTTTAAATGATCGTTGGCAGAGACACACTGTATTGATTTTCGTCAGGTCGTGTTTGCAGATGTGCTTAGAGGAGGAGCGGTGATGTGCAGAGCCCCTGGGGGAGGCTGGCGCACTCCGCGGGAGGCCTCATCAGCGGGGGTTGGTGCTGGGAGTCGGATCGGCTGGGTGCCTCCCGCAAAGCCGGCCTTGGGGCCTGTTTTCTCTCCATGCTTTTGGTTTCCAACAATTTTGCACAAAGGAACACATAGCACTGGGGCCTAATTTTGGCTGCATACCCTGTTGTCATGAAGCATCAGTCAGAGTTGCCAAGGGAGAGAGTGGCTGGGACAAAGGGGTAGTCTCACATACCCGAGCTCCTCATGATCACAAAGTAGGGGACACCTGTGACCTATGTGTAGATCGAATTGTAGTGACCTGGAGGTGGACGCAATCTCTGTTGGTCCTATGGGGTCACCTGTCACCTTCAGCCCAGCTGCTGGACCTCCCAGGTCAAGGTCAAACTGCATTCATCTGTTACTCTTACTTCCACTGTCTCAGGTGCAGCTGCTGCAGGTGGATATAGCTTGTCTTCTTTTTAAATTTTTTGAACCATTTATTTATTTATTTATTTATTTATTTATTTAGTACAGGGTCTCACTATGCAGCTTGGACTTGTAGTGATTCTCCTGTCTCAGCCTCCCCAGTGCTGGGATTACAGGCATGTGCCACCATGATGGGTTTTGGTGGCCAGCATGGCATGCGGTACCAGAAATTGAACCTGGATCCTTGAGTTTGCCAGGCAGGCGCTTAGACCAAAAAGCCGTCTCCCAGCCCTAGTTTATCTTTTTCACTCATGGTAAATCTTAATCTTTCCCATGAGCTACTAAGGAGATAAAGGTGTGATCCCTCTGTGGGCTTTTGGAAAGTGACTAAGTTGTCAGAATGTAGCCCCTGCTTGGCCCCTGAGGGGTCTATAAGAAGGGGAGAGACCAGGCAGACAAGCACGCCCTGCTCGCTCTCTGCCTTTTGTCACGTGGTGCTCTGTGCTGTCCTGCAACTCTGACAGCAGGAAGGCCATCAGCACATCAGGCCTCCTGACCTCGCACCTCCAGCCAGCATAAACCTTGGTTCCTTACAAAGGGGCCTGCCTTGGGAAATTCCTTATAGCAACAAAAGTGGGCCAATATGAGGCCTTCTTAGTTCTCAGCTCCGGGGTGCTCTCACTTGGTGTTCACGGGCATTCAGGAAGTAGGGACCAATGGGACATGATGTGGCCTGAACTAGATTCAGTGACAACCCTTGAAAGCCTCCCTTTTGGGGCGTGACCTGCACATGCACAAGGGTAAGGTTTGTGCAGCAGGAGGTGTAGATACTTCCATTGAAAAAACCACCAAGGGCAAAATAACCAGCAAATGAGTCCACTTGGAGGTGCCGTCGGAGCCCTGGCTTAGCCCAGGCACTGCTCGATGTGCTGACAGTACGGGTGCGGTGTGCTGCCTGCCAACTATAGTTCATAGCACGTGACAGGCACTCTTATAAGGAATTATGAATATAAACACTCTTTGTCCTCTTTTTAAAAAAGTTTTCTTTTTTAAATAATGTGTTTGGTTGCTGCAGGGTCTCACTACACAGCTCAGACTTGTGGTGAACTTCCTGCTTTCAGCCTCCCCAGTGCTGGGATTACAGGCATGCACCTTTCTGCTCTGACTCTGTAGCTGCTCAGCCCACCCTGGGGGTGGGGCTGTGGCGGCATGTGGTGTCAGGGATCAAACCAAGGTCCCTGCCCTCCCTAAGCTTGCCTAGGCAGGTGTTTTAGTCTGCTGAGCTATCTTACTGGCCCTCTTTGTCCTCTTAACTACTCTCCTCCCCAGTAGGAAGGGGGGTGGGGTGAGGGGAGTCATTAAATTGTGTTACACATTTTAATAGTTAACTGCAGTGTCAACTTGAGCGAGAAGCACCTTGCTGACCGGATTTGCACAGTTCTGAGCGTGTGTGGGAGACTGCCTGACTGAGGAAGGAAGCCCCGCCCTGGCGGGGCAGGCCCGACCCATAGGCTGGTGGCTGTGGTGGGATAAAGGGAAAGGAGAAGGAAGGCTCCCTTTTGCAGCTTTAGTGATGCTCTGGGTTATTGCCATCGCCTTTGGACCTCCACCTGCAGGCTTTCAGTGCAGACCCTCGGTGTCCTGATGTGGACTCCCATGGGACCGCAGTGAGCTCAGGCCTGCAGGGTCTGCCAAGGTCCTCAGGCTGTGGGGTCCTTGGGTTCCCCAGGGTCCTCAGGGTCCCCAGGGTCCTTGGGCTCTGGGGTCTCTGGGCTCCCTGAGGTTCCCCGGGCTCTCCAGGGTCTTCAGGCTCTCTGGCTCACAGATGGCCCCTTCTCATTTTCCAGCCCTGACTCTGCCAAGTGGTCTCTGGAAACCTACCTTGTGCGTCCCATACTGATCTGCCCAAATGAGCCCATTTATCTGTGTGACCAACAGGCCCCAAGAGACAAGTGAGAAAAAATAACAGTGCACAGCAAGGAGCCCTCTGCCGTCCCGTGGTGGGTGAGGAGGCCTGCTGCGAATGGGGTCTGCTGAGGTCACGCTGCTGTTCAGGGACAGAATTCAGGGTGCATTATGACGATGCCTTTGGCACTGAGACAGCCAGGATCACCACCGAAGTGAGGCCTGGATTCCAAAAATTATAAGTAGCACAGTGTTCATGCTTTTGTTTTAAGCATTAGACTTGGGGGCGGCTTGTCATGCAACAATGGGTAATTAATCTGGCAGCTTAACTATGTTTGAAGAAAGTGCAGGACTTTGTCCTTGCCAGGGCCACTCCCCAATTCCCATCAAGGATGTGTCACTGCCGAGGGAGCAGGAGCAGGAG